TAAGCTACCAAACCAACCTGGGTTCGAATCTCAGCAGCGGAATTAATTTTTTTTTTATAAATTTTAGCATCCCCTTTGAAGAGCTTCACGCCATATGTTACTATTGATTATTTGATAAAATAAAATATTTTGTAATCTCTAGTTTTATAAATATTTTGAGATAACCTTTTAATATATATTTTTTTATTTTTTTATTGATATGCTAATTTGTACAAAATACGGAGTAATAATTTCAAAAAAGTAAAGAAAAAAATAGAATTTTTTGGACAAAAAAAATTTAAATTAAAACAAAAAATTTGGAAAATGGTTTGGACGAGAAAACAAAAAATCATGAAATAAAAAGCATAAAAAATGAATTGTTTATTTTAATTAAAAAAGAAAGAATATCATGTAATGAGAAGGAGATAAATGTTACTGAAAATTATAACTATTTCCATCCGAAAATGTAAATGTGATAAAACTGGATTAATTTTAAAATATAATTTTGATATGTCAAATCTTATGACAAAAAAAGTGTTACAATTGGAGACAACAAAAAAATTGAAATCAATAACAGATTTTGTTTTTGTAATTCTATTATAAATTTCATACAAGGCTAATAATTCTATATATTTGTAACTCTTAGGGAGATTATAAGGTAAACAAAGCAAGTCTTCTTCCTCAATTTCTTCTCCGTAACATCCAGTTGAACGGAAAGTACTTTGGAATAATTTACTCCAAATATTTATACGTCATTCGTGAAATTCACTAATTCATCATCTGCGCCGCGGATGAAGAATTAATAGATTTGTCAAGTTTGTGAAGATTGTGTTTGTGAACCAAGTATTTAACAATGTCATTTAAATTTATAAACTTTAAATTATATCATAAAAACATAACCAACTTTCAATATTCTTAAATTTTTAACATTGTGTCATCTAAATGCAACAACAACAATCACCCAATTGAATCCCAAGAAAGCAGGGTCTGAAGATGGTGTGCACTCAAAAGTAGAGAAGTTGTTTCGATGAGGCCCTGGTCAAGCTAGATAAACAAAGGGCCACAATAGATAAAATAAAAAAGAAAAGCACAAATACGTACAACGTAAATAAAGCAGGAAGCACATAGAATAAAAACTAAATTAAAGATAAAGTAGAGTTACGAAATGAGCGTATTACAAATAAATAGCACCAAACATAATAAAAGTCTTGCAAACCACACAACAGACTTCATACATTCGGTTTACCTATTTTTTGAGTAATACATTCAACCTACCATATCCTGTTGGGAGCATGGAGAATACGGTCACGAAGTACTCTATATCAATTAAAAAGACTTATACATTCAGATAATTTATATCCCGTAATAAAATAACATGTGTCTTCAAAAACTTATGTGATATAGTTGATGACATGAAAAACTTTGGATGCTATGAATGTTTCTAAAACTTCAAAATACTTAAATATATAGTGTTTTTAAAATTAATTCAAAAAAATCCACAAAGTAAGTAATTACAAGAATTTTATTTTATCCAATAATTAATGAAAATATGTTTAAAAAAGAATAAAATTTGAACTTAAGAATAGTAACTTGGAAAATGTAAAAGGACGGAGCATATACTCCCTTCATATTTAAATTAATTATCGAATACATTTTTTTCCTCTATGATTTTTATTTATTTGTATGTTCTCATGATTATTTGATAACATAAAATATTTTTTTCACTCCTTATTTTTTAAAAATTTTGATGTAGGATTTTCCTAACCTCAAATTTGGTGCTATCAAAGTTGAGAGGAAAAACGCATAACAAGATTTGGTTACGTTGATGTATCAAGTTAGTCCGCTGTAGCAATGGATTATGGATATGCGGGACGGAGGGAGTATAAAAAAGGAGAGTTAACCTCTTAAAATTTGGCATTTGGAATGTCTACTATGCTATTTTTTACATGTCATCTTCCGTCACATTTATGACTTGGAAATTCATTTTAAGTTTCAAAATTAAATTACTCTCTTAAATTAGCCTTTTTAAGCAGTAAGCCTAGATCTTCACCATTCTCCTGTCTCTTCCTTTCTCGAGCAACCGGAAGATCTGCTTCACTCATTTAGCCTTTTTAAGCTGTAAAACTATCAATGAATAAATGAGATCTTCTCCCTTAAGAAGAGATATATTGATAACATCTAAAAAGTCATATTTTCTATGACATGCTCAAATGAAGTTAATTTTGATTTTATCTAATAAAATATTGATATATAATAAAATATAAAACTATATTTTAATGCAGATGCTTCAACAAGATTTGCCGATAGGGTCTCAGGGTTTGATTTTATTGCTCGAAACTATCAACGGCTTTAATCACTGCACATAATTTGCATTGTAGATGATATATTAGACCTAGAAAAGCGGATGTAATTGGAGTAAATGAGGCTTTATGCTAGATCAAGAACAAAGATTGTAGGCATATCATTGTGAAAACATATTGCAACGAAGTGTTTAATGCTCTTAATAATTCCACAAATATTATTATTTAGTGAGTATATACCTTAGTTTTTAAAAATATTCTAATTTAAATAAGAGCCTGACATGCTAAATTTCAAATATATATACAGTACAATTTTGATTAGCAAATATAATACTCCCTTCACTCTACAAAACATTTCTCCTTTCTTTTTTAATCTGTGCCAAAAAATATTTCTTATTTCTATTAAAAAATTACTTTTAACCCAACTAATTCTTAACATCTCTATCACATCACATTTTTCACTATTAATTTACTCAACACCAAAATATACTACTCTTAAATCCTTTCAAAGTCAAAAGAAGAAATATTTTGTGGGATGGATGAAGTATATTTTATCATATTTTAACTTTTAAGCTTGATGTTTTATTTTTTTGACTTTTTAAAAATGTTGTAGTGAAGAAAAATAAAAAATTTAAAACAAAAATTCGTTCCACCCCGTGCTTGGCACGGATTAAAATACTAGTAGTTTAAAAAAGTAAACAAAATTTGACCTTAAGAATAGTAACTTGAAAAATGCAAAAGGACGAAGTGCATACTCCCTTCATCCATATATTAATTATCAAATACATTTTTTTCCTTGATAATTTTTATTTATTTGTATGTTTTTATAATTATTTGATATAAAATATTTTTTTCACTCCTTATTTTGTAAAAATTTTGATGTAGGATTTTGCTAAAGTCAAATTTGGTACTATCAAAGTTGAGAAGCAAAACGTATTACAAAATTTGGTTATGTTGTGGTATTAAAAACGTCCGCTGTAGCAATGGAAATTTGAATCCTTGCATGAATTGGGTAAAGTAATTTTACACTCTCTACCTGGGCAAACCTGGGTTCAAATCCCAGCAGCGGAAATAATTTTTTAATAAATTTTACCATCTTTGAAGAGCTCCACGCCAATTTTTTGTTTACTCTTGTACCTCTTAAAATTGAACTGAATAAAAAAACTAACATATGTAAATTACCCCCAATAGTTCCAAAAAGAGAAAATACTAATCATTTTTGTTATGGTAATTCTCCATTTTTTGTAGGTTTAAATATTTAGGTTTTTTCGTTTTTTCATATTTAACTATTTAAATTCTTTTTTCAAGTTTAATTATTTTGGTTATGGTAAGCTTCCTTTTTGCCTTAATTTATTTTTGGATGTTGAAAATAAAATTAAGAGGAGCTCGGTATAAAATTTTTTATTGTTTCATTTTTTACATATTTAATTTTAAAGATGCAAATTGAAGTGTAGAAATAATGTTTATAACCAAATACGAAAAATCGAACTAAATTATTTCCAAAATGTTCTGTTTTCAATTTTAGACTATGAAAATTGAACTGAATAAAAAAACTAACATATGTAAATTACCCCCAATAGTTCCAAAAAGAGAAAATATTAATCATTTTTGTTATGGTAATCCTCCATTTTTTGTAGGTTTAATTATTTAGGTTTTTTCGTTTTTTCATATTTAACTATTTAAATTCTTTTTTCAAGTTTAATTATTTTGGTCATGGTAAGCTTCCTTTTTGCCTCAATTTATTTTTGGATGTTGAAAATAAAATTAAGAGGAGCTCCGTTAAATTTTTTTATTGTTTCATTTTTTACATATTTAATTTTAAAGATGCAAATTGAAATGTAGAAATAATGTTTAGGACTTTAGTTAAATATTGATTTGACTTCTTGGACTTTCTTTTTTTTTATTATGAACAATTATGAGGTTACATTTTTTTATATGTGAGCAAGTATAAACTTTATGCACTTCCTCAATTTTGACATGTTATTCTAGTGTTTGGATAGATATTTGCAAGCGTTTGTAAGTTTTTACAGTTTTTTAAGAAATAAGTGTGATATACTTTAAAAAAGAATAAGTTCCTTAAATAGTCCTTTGTAATTAATCGGTTTTCATATTTAATCTTTATTTACAACTTATTAAGTTTTTAGTCTTTATTGTTGTAATGATAATACGGAGTACTATTTTATTTTATCAAATAATTAATGAAAATAAGTAAATAAAGTAAACAAAGTTTGATCCTAGGAACGAAGCGTAAAGTATACTCCCTCGTCTTGAAATTAATTATCAAGTTCAATTTTTTTTGATAACTTTTGTTTATTTGTATGTTTTCATCAGTTTTTTTGATTAAATACAACATTTTTGTCACCTCTTGTATTATAAAACTTTTAATGTAATCTTTTAATATACAAATTTTATTTTTTATTGATATACTAATTTATAAAAAATATGAAGTAATAATTTCAAAAGATCTTTGATTTTGACTCGTAACAGATGGAGGACCATATTCATTCATTCATTCCTCTTCTTCTTCATATTGCCAGCAGAATTGCATGTGTAGAAATAATGGTAGGAAGAACATTGCGGAGTAGTGTTGATGAAGAACTCAATAGTATAACGAATCACGTATAAACGCTTTCAGATCAAAGTTATTTCGAGTTATACGAAATACTTCAATCGGATAAGACGTTAATCAACAACAAGCACTCGAAATCCTATCCTCAATTCATACCACGAGGCTCTATATTATAGAATCGAAAATTCATGACCGAACATGAAAATGCTTCCATCTGGGATTACTGCACCTCTCAAGATCACTACTATCCCTTTGCTAATAATGTATCCCTTTGTTGGGAATTAAAACAAAACACACACAAATATCTGTGAGAATCAAGAGAGAAACGGAACACAAACGACACACAAGAATTTAACGTGGTTCGGTTTCCCTAGTCCACGGCTGCAACAGGAGGATTTTCTTATTTCACTTATGGTACAGATTACACGTACAAGCCCTCTATATATAGGGGAAAAACTAGGGCTACGCACAACTGGGCCGGGCCGACAAACAAGCCTCCACAAAGCCCAACATTCTCCCACTTGGAGGCTTGATAAACATCAACTGCCATCCGCCACGATCGCCTGTACATCGAGTAATCTTTCTCAGCTCTCCTGTTGCAGCGGCCCTATTATCAGACAACTGAAAGGCCCGTTGAAGCTCTCCCAAGCTCCAACACATCAGTCACGACAAAATCTGCCCCTGACTCGTCCTCGGTCTTTACCGGCTCCCACTGCAGACGCACACTGCCGGATCCTGGAACATCCTGAGAACAAATAATCTCCGTACTCAGCAAGAAATTTTCTGGAGATGTTCCAACAGCTGGAATACTGGTTCGCCTGACCCGCTGTCTTCTAGGCAACTTGGCTGAAGCGCCTCTTGAGCTCCCACTGCCACAAATACCTCTGACTGGCCTCTTTGAACCTTTTCTCGCTCGTTCATCCTGAGTCTGCCCTGTGGCTCTAGGTTTCTCTCTTGCATAGACAACCTTATTCTGCCCACGAGACTCTGTGAACCGGACTTTGTTTCTCTTCTGAACTGGGACGGTCACTCCCTCAGATGGTAACCCGACCATGTACAACGAACCTCTCTTCTTTCCACGGGCCATGACAAGATTTCCCTTCACGACCTTCCACTGCGGCACTGCCCATCTCTGAACTTCACTCGTGTCCCTGTTCGTCCAACTGCCTGACAGAAATCAAAGTTTTCTTCAAGGCTGGAACCACTCTGACATCCTTCAAAGTCCAGAAACCGACTGAGGTCTTCAACACCATGTCACCCATGCCCGTCACCTCAAGAGCACTGTCGTCCGCTAGTCGTACCTTTCCAAAGTCCCCAACAACCAGATTCTGCAATGCTTCGTTGCTGTGGGTGGCATGAAATGAAGCACCAGAATCCATGACCCAAGAATCCACATTGCTTTCCTCACTGCAAGTCAGAGCGACCTCCTCGTCACTCGCAGAGCCTTGAGTAATGTTTACTTTCTTATCATTCGGACATTGATTCCTAAAATGCCCCACCTCCTTGCACTTCCGGCACGTTACACCTGAGCTATCCCGAGTCTTCGACTGACTCCTTCGTCTGTTCCTGCTCCCACTACCTCTGCTATTTCTTCTGCCTCTACCAACATGAAGCAATTCACCAGATGACTCCCCTGAACTCTTTCTTCTGACATCCTCGCCAAGAACGAGATCTCGAATCTGATCAAAGGTGAATCCATCGGGTTCCACCGAATCGGTAACTGCAGTAACCGTTCCGGACCAACTATCAGGTAAAGACGATAGCAGTAGTAAAGCTTGAACTTCATCATCGAACTTTATGCCCACTGACGCAAGTCTGGCTAAGATCGAATTCAACTTGTTGATATGCTCGGTAACTGAAGTGCCTTCTCTCATCTTTGTATTCACCAGCTCTCTAATCAAAAAAACTTTGTTAGCTGCAGATGGCTTCTCGTACATGTTAGACAGCGCTTCCATGATTCCCTTCGCTGTCTTCTTCTTCAGAATGTTGAACGCAACATTCTTGGTCAACGAGAGACGGATCACGGACATTGCTTTCCGATCCAAACCTGCCCAATCTGCATCCGACATCTTTTCTGGCTTGTCACCCAAAACCACATCCAAATCTTTCTGAACCAGCAAATCTTCAATTTGCATCTTCCACCAACTGAAATCTGTACCATCGAACTTCTCAATTCGGAACTTCCCATCTTCTGCCATATCAAACAACTAGACGAGATACCCGGCACAAATATTTCAGATCTTGGTAATTTCGTCAGAAAAATTGGACAAATCCACAGCCCACCAATAAAACCAGTCCAAAACAAATAGCCAGCCCAAACCAAAAAATCACACGGCCCAATTCAATGGAGAAAGGCTGACCACTGCCTTCTCTTTTCTTTTCGACCGGCCTGCCCCTTTTTTTTTCCTTTGTTTCGGCGACTACTTCAGCGGAGCAAAACAGGGATGGCTATGGCACTGCGCTCTTCTCCGGCGTTCTGCACTGGACGACGGCGGCGACTCGGCAAGCGATCGGACAACACGTGCTCGCGGACGGCGACTGACGGCTAGACGGAGGGCGGCGGCACCTTCTCTACGATCTGAACAGCAGGGCGGCTAACTCCTCGAACCAGCGGCGTCAACTGAGGACGGAGGTGGCTCCTCAACGTGGCGGCGGCGCCCCCTTGCTGCTCGACGGTGGTGGCGGCTCCTCAACCCGGCGGCGGCGGCTCCTTCTGCTCGACGCGGCTGCTGCGCTACCTGCTGCTCCCGGACTGCGACGGACTTGCAATCTAGGCCGCGGCCAACTACGAAAACGACGCTGGCGGTTGCGCGGCTAGATCTCTGCACCCGTCCCTGTCGCTTCTTCAGATCTGACTGCGGAAATCACAGATCTCTTCAGGCTGCTGCGCACAGATCGGCAAAACCCTAGGTGACAAATAGCAATTTGTGTTCTGGTGTTGAACAACCCAGCTCTGATACCACTTGTTGGGAATTAAAACAAAACACACACAAATATCTGCGAAAATCAAAGGAGGAACGGAACACAAACGACACACAAGAATTTAACGTGGTTCGGTTTCCCTAGTCCACGGCTGCAACAGGAGTATTTTCTTATTTCACTTGTGGTACAGATTACACGTACAAGCCATCTATATATAGGGGAAAAACTAGGGCTACGTACAACTGGGCCGGGCCGACAAACAAGCCTCCACAAAGCCCAACACCCTTTGCTTCATTGTTCCCCTCCTCCACATTGTCTCTATTCACTACCTGCAACAAATTAAAACTATTTTCTCATCAAGAACGCTTTGAACCCCTTATGGGAAATCTTTCTCTGAAAAACATTCTTCATTGTTAGAAAAGATTTTACTCTCAAAATGTTGTTTCACTTAACTGTTTGGATTACAATGTAAAAACTCATTTTTTACGTGTTTTTATATAGACATGCCCAAATCATAAAACGTGAGGTGTAGCTTCTTTAGCCCTGTGTCTTGGGAGCATTATGAGCTTTATCAAAGCATTCAAATGCATCACCTAACCTGGTATTTACTTTAAGCTTTTAATCAATAGCTGCTAGGTTTTCTACCACAACCACGTTTTCTTAAACAATAGCCATACAAAGTTGTACCTTGACATTTTTGCCAATCCTCACATTGTTCTTCATATTGCCAGCAGAATTGTCTGTTTTATAATTGATTAGAAATCCTAATTTATTTGCTGCCGTGTCTTCCTCACTTGCAATCACATGAATTGATCTCAAAAAAAAAAAAATACCCATTGTATTAATATGTGATAAATAAAACAAATTTTGAAGCAACATTGATTGGAAAAAAAAGTAATGGTAGTGTCCTCCAAACTTTATCTGATTAATGGAAGCAAATCTTCATTTTTAAAAATGTGATAAAATAATTTTTTTTTTCTTTTTCCTATTTTTAAAATGTGTCAGATGAGGCAATATTATATCAAAAAGTAAAGAAAAAAATAGATTTGTTTGGATAAAAAATTGAAAAAGGGGTTGGACGAGAAAATGGTAAAACAAAAAATCATGAAATAAAAAGCATAAAAAGTAAATTCTTTATTTTAATTAAAGAAGATAAAATATAATGTAACTAAAAGTAGATAAATGTTAATGAAAATTATAACTACATCCATCCAAAAATGTAAATGTGATAAAACTGGATTAATTTTAAAATATAATTTTGATGTATCAAATCTTATGGTGACCAAACAAAAGAATCAAAATGGACTGAGACAACAATGTAGATATGCAGAATGATTGTTGCTTACACTTTCATATGCTGAATTTATTTCGGAAGTGCTTTTTATTCTAATGATTATGGGGGCCAATAAGTTTATAGCATTTTAAAATATCTTCTTTTGTCAAAATGTGGTCAGACCTACTATGTTATATGAGGCACAGTGTTGGGCGGTTAAGAAGATTCATGTGCGTCGTCTGCATGCGGCGGAGATGAGGATGTTACGATGGGTGTGTGGGAAGACAAGGTTGGATAGGATTTCGAACGAAGTTATCCGACGTCAGGTAGACATGGCGCCAGTGCTCCCGCAATTTTTTTTGTTTGTTAAAGTTAACATGATATGACAAAAAAAGTAATACATTTTGACTCAAACATTCAAATAGTTCAAAAGATAATAATCAAAAAACATAATTTTCAAAATTAAACCAATTAAGACTGTGCAATTAACATTTAATAAATACCGGGAGTACTAAAATAACAATAAAAGTAATTGGACATTCAATAAATTATTATCTCTCAAAATAGGAAATAAATACGGAGTATTATATATATATATATATATATATATATATATATATATATATATATATATATATATATAAAATCATTAAAAATCAAACCTATTAAGATTACACATCAACAATTCATCACCTGGAAATAAAAATAAATCAAACCATTAAAGATTTAAGGTATAAATTATAAAACATTAAAAAAGTTTAAAACAAAAAATCATCAAAGTGTTGCAGGCCCCAGCCGAATTGTTCTACACTTCTGGTCTTCTGCTTTGTCGTTTATGTACTCCGTATTTTTTTTTTTGGGAAATTGGCAATTGACACAATTGGGCTACTGTCTAGTCGAGGAGCAATGGGCTGGGTCAAAGCCCAATGGAATTATTTTAAAACCTACTTCGTAACGACGCCGTTTTTTTCTTTCTTCGGCGACGGTAACTGTTCTTCTTCTTTGATGTTCTGCTTCTGCGATCGGCTGCCGGACAAAGAACTAGACGACTAGACGTTGCGACACATCTGGGGGGCAAATCCGGCCTACCATCGCCGATTGGGTAGCCTAACTCTACTTCGCCGGAATTTCGCCAGGGGCACTTGCCCCATGCCCCCTCTCCTCCGCCCCTGGAGTAGGGGCAAAGTCTGCGTACACACACTCTCTAGATCCTACTGTAGTGGGATCCAACTGGTTTGTTGTTGTTGTTCTATATGAATCGAATTGAAATCGAACTAAATATATTAATACTCGATTTAAACCCTAAAGTAATTAGATCCAACTAATTAAATCTGAAACCGGTCAAAATCGAAAGCAATATAAAACCCAAAATTGGTAAGATCCAATAAAACTTAAAATTGATTATATCAAAAATTGATTCTGCCTAACAATAAAAATTTTATATTTATGTATATTGGTGAACAATTACATTAATATTCTTTCAAATTTTTATTTTTATTTTACCATGTGAACTCTTTATATACTTATATTACTTAATTTTTATGTCCAAAATGAATTATCATATCTAAACAAAATAAAAAAATTCATATATTTTATTTTTTTTTTGAAAATGAACATTACAACTTACATAAAAATGTTTGTTAAAATTTATACTCTGGAGTACAGACTAGATCATGGTTAAAAATATGGAGTATTTGTTTAATACGGAGTAATTTCTCATGCAATATTGTGTAGTTGGCCAAACATGTACTTTGAATTGCAAAAAATTTTACTCAAATTTATCTAAATGCATTCAATTTCACACAATTTGAACATATTATAACCCAATTATATGTAATTTGATAATCCAATTATACTAATTTTATATCGGAACTAAACATATTTTTCTTTCATAATTCGTAATACATATTTAAAAAAGATGACAAAAAAGGTAAACATAGAAGATATTTAGAACAAAGAATTTATAAAATAATATGACGTGATTAATTGATGATAGATCGATAGATGATGATATGACAAAAAATGAACAAGTAATTAAATTTTAATTTGAAAATAACATATATGTAAATAGATCTAAAACTGAAATATATGCGAATCAAAATGTTACCAAATCACAGAACCGAAATTGATCCAAACTGATTGACATCCAAACTGAATCTAAACCGACTCAGAATCGAAAATATATAGAACCAAATTAAATTTGGATTGAAATTAAACTGAACTGAACCTCACCAAATTAATTACAACATACTTCCTCTGTACCAAAAAGATTGAGACATTTTCATTAAAGTAATAAAATAAGGAAGAATAATTTTGTGTTTACTTTCCAAAAATACCCTTCATGTGATGGGTAAAAGTAGAATGTGATAGATATATTATTAGAAAAAAAGATATGATATGCTAGGTAGTGTATAAAAAAAAGGATAAAAGTGATTTTATAATAGAAATAAGATGAATTTTAATGGAAGTAAATTTTTCGAAAAGACACGAGTATATCCGAACCAAATCATTTCATACGGAGTATTATTTATATGAATAGCGCACAATACACAATGACTTCCGCTGTAGAATTGGATAAAGACTTAGGCCCCGTTCCGTTCAACTAGTTTTTTCTTATTCTTATTAAAATCAGATCAGACTAGATCAGATCAGATCAGATCTAATCAGATCAGATCAGGACTTATTAAAATCAGATCCCATCAAGGATTATTATTATTATTATTATTATTATTATTATTAAAACCATCATCATTATTATTATTATGATTATTATTATTATTATTATTATTATTAAAAATGAAAAAGAATAAACTTTAAAAATAGGTTAAATAGAAAACTGAGAAAGTAATCATTAATTATTAGAAGCCTGAAAATTTAGTTTTAAAATGCATTGATATTGTCAATCTAATTCTACTTTTAAAGTATATTTTTATTACTACTTGTAATTTGAGTTTCTAAACTTTTGATCCTTTATAAGAATGAGATATTTTAATAAAAATACTATCTTCTATATATTGATTATCTAAATTTAATTACTTTTTAATATATATCTAAATTAAATATTTATTCTAATGTATAATTCTAATTTTACAAAAAAAATAATCATAAAATAAAAATATTATTACATTATAATATGAATGTTTGGTTGGGCTCGAGACCGGGTCCCAACCCCTACCTCCCACCTCCTCAACCCACCTTTTTTTTTGTAATTTGAAGTATGTTTTGCTATCTTTGCAATTTGATCTTCTAGTTTTCAGTTTTTTAAGTGGCAAAATTACAATGAATTTCATGACATATGTAAATTAGATGAATTTCACGGCACAAATCGGATACAGTTTTTGCTAGAATCAAGAATAGTGGACTAAAAAATGATAAAATTGCATCATCGAGGGACATGATTTTTTTGTGTGTCCGTTAAATAATGCTTCCATCTGGGATTACTGCACCTCTCAAGATCACTACTATCCCTTTGCTAATAATGTATCCCTTTGCTTCATTGTTCCCCTCCTCCACATTGTCCCTATTCACTACCTGCAACAAATTAAAACTATTTTCTCATCAAGAACGCTTTGAACCCCTTATGGGAAATCTTTCTCTGAAAAACATTCTTCATTGTTAGAAAAGATTTTACTCTCAAAATGTTGTTTCACTTAACTGTTTGGATTATAATTTGATAAGACTCAATTTTTACGTGTTTCTATAGAAACATGCCCAAATCATAAAACGTGAGGGGTAGCTTCTTTAGCCCTTTATCTTGGGAGTGTTATGAGCTTTATCACCAACACCTAACCTGGCATTAACTTTAATCTTTTAATCAATAGCTGTCAGGTTTTCTCCAACAACCGCATTTCATTAAACAATAGCCATACAAAGTTGTACCTTGACATTTTTGCCAATCCTCACATTCTTGTCGAGTATGGCCTTCTTTATGCGCGAGCATTCCCCGATCCCAGCTGGGATGCGAAAAACATCATCTTCCATGGCAACCATCTGTACCACACACATGCACAAACTAAAATGGCTATACTTCTTCTGGAACATAGGGAGTTGATATAGTTTTTCTGTGTTTGTCTTACCTCATATTTGTCTGATCCAAGAACAATTGAATCTTCAAGCACCGCACCTTCTCCCACTCTTGTCCTCATCCCTACCACGGTGCCTTTGATATTGCACCTCTGCAGGGTTTGTTTTTTGTTTTGTTTAATATATTCAAGAAAACAAATGATTTTGTAAGACAAAGCTATATTTGGTATATGGATGATTAGCCATTTTTGGTACCATCCATTTTTTGTTTCACAGATCATAGAAGCTATTATATACGTTTGGTAAATGACTTATTGAATATTTGGCTTGTTGAAAAACCTAATACTAATAGGGTTTATGCCTTTATGGCTGGCCCTCACATTTCAGGTGCCATAAGATTTTGCCATGTTTGTCCAATATTAGTTGTTTGATGTCTTAAAACCTGCTCCATTCATTTCAATTTGTTGTGCCTAGTTTGACTTGCGTTGAGGAGAAAGAAACACTATGAACCATATACTGTTGGTTATAAATGAAAAACAGGCACACCAAATTTGGACGTACCAAAAATTTAAACAAGGGCAAAGGAGGTATCATGCCCCCTCCGTCCTACTAAGTTTGGGACATGGGAGGTTTGTAGAGAAAATAAATGAAAAAGTAAAATTCTTGATGTCTCAAAATGGAATGTGATTACGTGAACAACAAAATTGGGACAAATGGAGTAATATTTAAAAAATGGTAAGAAATACATTTTGGAAAATCAGTGTTTTTAAATGTATTACATTTTGGTCTTGCCCAACCATGAAGGCATTGTACACTGAAATTCTTACATTGAGAATACAGCCGCCTCCGATGGCAGAGTCGGTTATAACAGAATCTGTTATGATGCTTGGAGGGAGATGGTGAGGTAAAGTGTAGAGAGGAGAATCTGTATCATTGAAGCTGCGACCAAAAAGATGCAAGAACAATATATGTATTAGCTGACCTTATTATTAATTAAAGGACCTTGCTCTATTAATGATGAGATATTTGTGTCAAAGTGATGCATTTGGCTTTATTCTTATATACTACCATCTATTACGTGTTATCTAAGTGAAATGAGACAAGACCTAAGATGGAAAAAAAGCCAAGAGGCAAAGAAACACTAATAATACTAATAATAATAATAATGCGGAGTAATAATAATGATGATGATGATGATGACGATAAAGCATAGCACCTAGGCGGTGTTAATCACTTATTCAATCAGGGCTAAGCATTGATTATAGCTAGCAATGTTTGAAGCTACTGACTTGTATGCCATGCTGGTCTTCTTGGTGCTCTCCAAATTTGCACGATAGTATGCTTCGATATTCCTCATGTCCTCCCAATATCCATTGAATTTATACGCGTTAACCTGCAGGGAATTGGAGAAGAAATATATTCTCTTTCTTTTTTTCTTCATCCAAGTAAGTTTATGAATGAAGGACATGCGTAAAGCTAGTTCGTACTTGCCTTCATGTCCAAGGAAACTGCAACTGGTATAACCTCACTTCTCAAGTCATTGGCCATTGGTAAATATTCTGTGAGCAACTTTATCATTGTGTCTCTGCTAATCACATAGATTTCCATGCTAGGAAAAGTGCCATCAATGTCGCCCGTCCTAGGACTTGGGGTGCCCTGTGCAACAAATATAATGTGGCCCATGATCTTTTTTTTGTTTTGTTTTGTTTGTTTCTACTCTACAAAATTCTATATAGATGTTTTTTTCTTTCAAAAGGGGGGGTTTAGCTGGGGTAAGGTCTACTTACACACTCCCCGTGGTTATGTCCAATTATAAAATTATCTCTAATGTTTTTGAAACATTTGCTAAATAACAGATAGCAATGGTAGAATGAGGAACAAAGTTACTTTTAACATTTTTTGTGAGTGGGTGCTGCAGAGTAATAATGAGTTCAGCACCCCACTCACACTGTTGATTGTTTTTTACTTTTCGGCATTGATAGTAAAAAAGCTTTCATCTTTTAATTTCAAGGAGAATAATTGATGCTATGAAAATAGACTGTTTAGTACCAGGCAAAGAAATATAGATGGAGGAAACAACATACTTTGGTTTCTGGTTTATCACTAAAGCTTGTGACTCGGTTTTCAGTATTTACATGGAAATATCCAAAATCTGAATCTTCAGTACTGTGCGTAGGAGTAGTATTAGTAGAGACAGCAACTGTGATATCTGCATTGCTGTTCCTGTGAGCCTCAATCAGTTTTTGGTAGTCCATTTTGTATAGATGGTAGCCGGGAAGAACAAGAAGCTCGAAGACTGGATACTGCTCCAATATCCACAAACATCTCCTTATGGCATCTGCAGTTCCCTATATTTCATATACCAACCATATTAGAGATGAACTTTCGTTGCCTTATTTCCCCATTCATGATCATAAGAGCATATCCGTCCGTTGCTAATGGAGCTAAAAGAGTCATCAGTGACGTTGTTTTAGATTTGGGCACATAAAAAAAAGACACATTGAACTTTCCTTGCTATTTACTCCTTGAAGTTTTGGAATGCAGCAATGAATCTAAAGGTTTACAGAAACAACCTCTTTGGTTTTACGGGGGTAAGTTTAGTGACTTTGTTTTAGCTTTGGGTAAACAATGGACCAAATCATAATGACTCCTTCACTTACTTTCTATGAAACAATGGAAACACTTTTTTTTTGTGTACCCGGGGTAAGGTGGCGTATATCTCGGACTCTATACTCCAGTAGGGCTGGGATTGTACCAGTTTCTGCTGCTGCTTTTGTTTTTAGAGCTTCAAAAGGGAGGGAACAACAGAAGCAAAATGCCCAAAAAGAAAAGAAATGAGAAACATTATGAACCTGGAACCAGCCCTTGCCTTCGGGGCTCTGGTAGGCGGCCACGACTTCGACGAATCCGTCTTTCCCGATCCGGGCACGGGAATAAGCTCTTGAAAGGTGGGAATTCAAAGAAGTGGAGTTGAACTGTGTGAGTGCATATATCTTGGTAATGTTGCTGTTAATGCAGTTGCTCATTACAGCATCTACAAGCCTATAGTTCCCTGCAATGGGAAGTGCAGCCTCTGATCTTCTCTTAGTCAGTGGATATAGCCCCCAATGTGGCCCATCTCCAAACACTATGGCTGCCACACTCTGCATCAACATGCCAGTTTCAGGCTTGTTAATCAATGCACTCCTCCACACTAAGGTACCGTTTGGTTGGGCGAAAATGATTTCTGAAAAAAAAACCCTTTTACCCATTTTCCATATTGTTTGGCAGGAAAGTGATTTCCATTTTTATTGGAGAGGAAACTGGCTTTTCCCCTTCCACTTTTTTGTAGTTTGTACCATATTTTCGTCATTTTTTTACACAAAACCACGGAGAATCTGGTAAGAAAATTCATTTTCATGAAAAACACTTTCCAAAGAAAATTGTTTTTTTCCCCAGGAAATTCATTATCCCTCCCAAACAAACACTAACTAATTGCAGAACACATACCTGATTCAAAGTGAGTGGAGGGGAGTGAGAGAAGGGGTATTCAAAGTGTTTAGAGCTTGAAAAAAACAAGTTTGAGGCAGCTACTGGATGAGAAGGAATGAGCCTGGGAGGGTTAAAATGGAGAGGGGATTTGATGTGATTAAGGTTCAGAAAGTTTGGAAGAGGTGACATCTTGGGAGATGTTTGGCTGCTTCTTTTTCTTCTTCTTCTTCATTTCTTGGGAGAATTTAAGAGAAGAGAGAAACCTTAATCTTTGTGAAAAAAAGGAATATTGAGGTTTCTTCTGCTTCACATTGATACTTCAGGGAGGTCACAGATCAGATCTTACCATTAATGTCTGCTGTTTTTTGGGTATAACTTAGCTTCTTCCTTAATAGACAGTACTTAGTGTTTAACTTTGATTCCAAGTTTCTTCTTTTCTGTTTTTTTGCTGTCTGTCTCTATATCTATTCTATATTATAAAACCAAAAGAACAAATTTTCTTCTCCACTCTTGGCACTCTATAAATTGTGTTTCAGTGTTCAAGAAAAGTGTCGGATAGAAAAAATAGTACGGTGTGTATTCAGTATTCACAGTGTTCAAGAAAAGTGTTAGAAAGATAAAATACTGTGTGACATTATATTCTTTTCCGTTACGCGCGTAAGCAAAAGAGTAAAAACTTTATTTTGATATATATATATATATATATATATATATATATAATACACACACACACATATATATATATATATAATGTGTGTGTTTGTGTGTGTGTGTGGTGCAACTACACCAATCCTGAAAAATTAGAAGATTACTTTACTTAAAACAAATTTTTACACCAATTTCAATTGAAAATAATTTAAATCAACATTGCAAATTGAAATGAACAACCTAAATTGAGACAAAGGGTTCATATACTACATGGAGCAAAATGTTCAAAAAATTAATTTATTGCACAAAGTCCCAAATTCATTATTGGCAAGTTTGAGAACTAAGACTCAAATTTCAAATTTAGATTTGACTCAAATTAAATGTTTGGGGATCCAAAAAAAATTGGATATGGATTTCAGCCGAACTTTTTTAATTTCCAACAAAGCTCAATTAAAAATCTGTACACTTTCCTTCTAGTATGAAATTTAAAAGTTCAAATTTTAGAGTTGAAATCTAAACATTCAAATAATTGAAGTCTAAGGGTTTGTTATGTTTAAATTATTTTTCTGTTCAATACTTATTTTTATTAAAATCAGATCAGAAATAATTTTAAATATTTCCTTCGTCTAACAATAAAATTCTCAGCTACTATTACGGACTCTCAATAATTTATGTTTGTTTGTATAATTTCATCAATCACTTGGTAAGATAAAATATTTTTGTCACAACTTGTTTTGTAGAACTTTAGATATAGTTTTAAACAATGTAGTTTGTATTTTTTATGATATACTAATTTGTAAATAAAATAATTTTAAAAAGATGAGATCTTACACATTGTTCAAAATGAGAAATTAATTGTTTGACAGGGTGAGTATAACTACAATCAGATTTAATCTGACTAGATTAGATCTAATCAGATTAAATTTAATATGATTATACTAGATCTTCAAAAAATCAAGTCAAATCATTACCCATGGGTTTTCTTTAGAGATTGTGGAAAAAGATACTCTATTTCAAAGTCCGTCTCTACACGACTATAAATATACTCCCTCCATCCTGAATTAGATGTCACCGTCACCGTTACGGTTTCTCGATAACTTTTGTTTGTTTGTTTGTATTTTTTCATTAATAATTTGATAAAATATAATATTTTATTCACCTCTTGCTTTATAGAGTTTTTTATGTACTTTTAAATGGAATAAATGCTATAAGTTATACGGAGTACTTTTTATTTTATACAAATTTGTAATTAAAATAATTTAAAAAACAATTGAATTTAAAAAGTTTGATGTAGGATTTTGCTAAACTCAAATAGGGTACTATCAAAGTTGAGCCGCAAAACGTATTACAACATTTGGTTACGTCGTGGTAACAAAAAAGTCCGCTGTAGCAATGGTATGTTGAATTGCAACTTGCTAGAAGTGGGTAAAGTAGTTCTACTCTCTTTTTAAAGAGCTCCACGCCAATTTTTTGTTTACTCTTGTACCCCTTTAAATTAGGGGTGGGTCAGTGCCAAAAAATAAATCGAATCAAAAGAACAATAACCAAATATGAAAAATCGAGCTAAATTATTTCCAAAATGTTATGTTAAATTTACTGATGTAGGGGGCAGGGTCATCTCACAAGAAGTGATGAACCTACAATTTGCTCCAGGGCCGGCCCAATAGGTGAACAAACAGTCCGTCCGGACCAGGCCAATGATTGTAAGGGGCTCAATTATTTTTTAATATTATATGTATGTATATAAGAAGCCCATCTCATTAACCGCCCCATCCCTTCCTACTTCGCAGACAACTAACGCGAGGCGCAGAAGCTGGAGACGAAGCCTACTGCCGAAACCGAATTGGAAAGAGAGTGCCGACTGCTGACAACGCCGACGCCGCCGCCGCTGTCTCCAGACGCCGCCGCACCCTGCAGGTATTCCGTATCCACTATCTTTCCAATTTAGTACGAGTAATTTTTTTCTAATTTTCTTTCTTTCATTGTTTCATTCTTTGGATTTATTAATCATTAATTTTTAGTTTGAAATCTTTGCTAATTGCTATGAAATATGAATGAATTAATATGTTCCATATATTCTTTATTTGATTTGGATGAATTGATTTGAATTTATGATATATATAAAAAAAACTCTGAAAACTGAAAAACTGAAAAACTGAAAAACTGACAAATTGACATGAATTTAAGATATATATATATATATATATATATATATATATATATATATATATATATATATATATATATACTAAAAACTGAAAAAGAAAAAAACTGAAAAAATGATGAATTGAATCATTTGATATGAGTTTATGATATATGAATTTATTTGCTTGCTTTTCCATATTTGATTTTACTAAGTAGTAAAATTTATGAATTTGAATTTTATTTCAGAAATTATTCAATAGCTATTTGTCCTAAACATCTATCTGTTAGTCAAAAACGTAAAAAGAGAAAACGAGATGAAGATTGAGAAAGTCTCAAGCCGGATAAGAAATGCTTTGGTCATTTATTTATTTTCTTCTAATGATATTACGTTAATTATCATTTATATATAATTAGTTTACATATGTTAATTTGTTAGACTTTTAGGGATAAGATATTTAGGGTTTTTTTTATATCGGCCAGGCTTTTGAATTCTCAGGACCGGCCCTGGAATAAAGGAAAAGAGGAAGACCAAGATGGTTTTCAGCTGGTCAGTAAGAAGAAGACTGCAATGAGAATAACAATTGATGAGCTGTTTAAGGGAGACCTAAACAATATCCCTTATACAAGTCATTGTCCTTTTCTCACATGATACTTAGTTGGAATATTAGGGGTTTGAATAACCCCGATAAGCTGTGGGAAACAAAGAGTATTATTAATAAAGTAGTAGTAGTAGAATCATGGGTATCTTGGAAACAAAAATAAGGAAAGACAAGGAGGAGATTCTAAAAAGGATGTTCAGTAATTGGGGATATGTTACAAAAATTGAGCATCACCTTATGGGAAGGATTTGGGTGGTCTGGAATATGAGTAAGGTTCATGTTCAGATAGTGGATTGCAATGCACAAGCCATCCACTGTAAAACTAAGAACCTGGAGAATAATGAGTACTATTGGGTTACATTTTTTTATGCTTTTAATGATCAAGGGGGGAGGAAACAACTCTGGAGCAAAATTAAAGCCTACTCTGAGCATATAAATGGACCATGGTGTTGTCTTGGTGATTTTAATGATGTTTTGGAAGTTAAGTACATGAAAGGAGGAAATCCAGTTACAGAAGATGAAATAAAGGACTTCAAGGATTGTGTGATGGAGAGTGGCTTAGAAGAAATCCCTTTTTTAGGCCTCTATTACCCATGGTCTAATAAGTAGATCCCAGAGAATAGAATTTGGTCAAAATTAGACAGAGATATTTCCAATGACAAGTGAATGTTGAAATTTAATATTAAAACAAGAGTTCCGAATAAGGTCTCTCTGACCACACCCCATTATTGGTGACTAATATTCTTGGTACTAGAAATTCAAAACCTTTTAGGTTTTGCAATATGTGGTTGGAAGACCCCTTGATAGCCCATATTATGAAGCAGAAAGGGAGGGATGAGGATTCTCATAGAAATATGTACCAACTGGTTCCGAATCTGAAAAATCTTAAAAAGCCTTTAAGGGAGTTACAGAAGGCTGATTTCAGAGGCATTCACATGCAGCTGGATGACACCAGAGAGGAATTAATGAAAGTACAACAAGAAATCAAATTGGGTCCTATCACAAATGACCTTCATATGAAAGAAAGGAACCTATGTGCTAAATTACATACTTGTTAACATGGCTTACTGACATGTCAAAAAAATGCTCAATAGACGTGTCACATGTCACAAGTTTAGAAGTGCAACTCTCAAATTTTATAGATAAAGATGAGGGCTTCATTTGGAGGGATGATCATTCTTTTGGAACGTCTATTGGTAATAAGGTAGATGCGACATTGGATGGTAGCTTCGATGATGGATCCTTCTGCGTTAGTAGTGTTATAGTGTAAAGAATTATGAGGCCCAATTCCTTAAATAAATACCCATAAATAAATAAAAGAAACAAAAACACTCTTCTTTGTCTTGCTTGCTGAGCGCCTGACCTGCAGCTACTCCTCTTCTACGTCGTCGACGAGCAGGCGGCGCCGCGGCGCCCTCTGGTAACCATTTATCCTCAAAAAATCATAATCATTCGTTTCTCAAGCTCCTTTTGGTACCGTCCGCATCCCTTAAAAATCTTATTATCGTTCGATTAGGGAGGATAGGGTCTATTTCTCAAGCTCATTTTTAAAATAAATTTATTCGTTATTGATATCCTAGATTTATTTTGTGGAAAGGTAACTAAATCTATGAATTTAGTTTCTTATTCTTCTTATATCCGTTGAATTGTTTAGATTTATTACTCCTTCAGTTCTGAATTAATAGTTTCACTTTTCTTTTTAGCCTACTTTTTACTTTCTTAAGAAAATAATCACAATCTTTCTCTTTCCTCTAATCAAATTTCAACCACTCACATTATACTTTTCAACACCTTTCTTAAACTCAATGAAGTCAAACTGCGATGATTATTTAAGAAAGGAGAGTGTATTTAAATTGATCATTGTAATACAGAACTCTTTGTAGTTTGTTGAAGGAAAGCTTAACGAATTGATTTTTTTCAATGAAGATCTCTTTTCTTTGCATTGCAGAATGTTTTCACATGGTTAGTTTCTATGATTGACAGAGTTTGTAGTTTGTGACTTTGTGGAATTCTTTTGGTTAACATATACGAATTATCCGCTTTATCCCATCAACTAACATAATTCAGTGATTTGGGCTTCCGCATCAGTGGATGAATTTAAGTTAATTTATCATACTAGAATTTAACTGCTTATTACTAATATTTTGAGCATCTTCATGTTCTAGGTATTAAATTGATATCTGGGCTTTTCTTTAGTATAGTTCTGAATTTTATAGTGCCAAATGAATGGATGATGCATTCACAAACCCGAATTTAAAATCTGGTTAAGCACTAAGCAGTTCATCATGTGATTCACAATTTGTGAAATATACCCCTAATTTAATCCATTCCATTTGTGTACGATTTGCAGATACCAAGACACGAGAAAGCTATTTTGTCTGGTAATTGGCCAAACATTCAAGATTTCTATTAATCTTCTCAATTGACTTACAACCTGCCCTTTGAGTTTGGTGTTAAAAGAGATGGGGAGATCTAAAAAGCAATCCCAACAAACCAAGTTGGAAAGTGAAAGTGATTCTGAATTTGACACCGATGAAATGAGATATAATACATCTCATGAGGTCGAGGATGAAGAGCAAAATGATATGAGTAGTGATGATGAAGATGGAAACCATCAAAGTGATGACTTCGGTGAAGATGATGAAGAAGAACAGGACAGTCTTGAGAATGATGGTTTTGGGGAAGAAGATGATGAGGAAGGGGACAGCCTTGAAAATGATGGCTCTGGGGAAGAAGATGAAGATGATGATGAAGGGGAACAAAATGAGTTGCAAAAGAATGCTGAAATGGAAGAGCTTGAGAATGACTATAGGAAGCTTCAGCAAAAGGAGCAGTAAGTTCATTATCCTTTAATTATGCCCCTTTCAAGTGAACTACTGAGTTGGATTTACATTTGTTATGAATTTTTTAGCACATGATGTTCAGTGAAATGGGAAAAGATAAGGCACATGCCACATTTTAATAGGATTGTTGGCATTAGGCCAATTGCCAAACATATGTGCATTGTTGCAAATTAATTAGCACTTCACACTCATTTTAAAAGCATCTAGACTTGATGTAAGTAAATACGTTTAAATGATTAAAGACTGTGATAAAAACTTCCATATACACTTAAAATGCCATTGGTATTCATTTGTAAATATTCTCACGTTTAAGTGGTCAGACATGGGTTATTTTCTTTTCCCCATCTGTCATTTCTCGCTTCCTCCCTCTTTTATTTATCTGTTTTCGTTTCCATGAATAACTCAACTTGATTTCATTTTCTTTCTTATGCTCTCGCTGCCCCAAAAGAAGAGTCCTGTTGGGTCAACATAAAACTCTCTAATAATGGCAGAATACATCTCTCAGAAATAATGAAATCAATTTTATAAGTTTTAAACTGTTTCATTAGTTAACTAGTGCACCATAGTTAACCTGTTGGTAGCATTTCTTGGTTGTATTGACAAAAATATATCAAAAAATAATCTAGTTTGATGAAATTGTACTCTCTATATTGGGACACAAAAAAACTTTTGAAACATGAATTTCTGTTTTTGGGATGGATCTTATACTGTGCCAAACTAGTGCAATCATTCAAATGGTTATTTTAAAAGATATGCATAAGTGATAAATTGCAAATGAAAGTGTAATTTATAACTCGATTCTGCCATTTATTCACAGAGATCTATTGAGCAATCTAAAAAGCCATAAGAATGAGGATATTTTGAAAGGTGAAGCAGTAAAAAATCAGAAGGTATGATGCTGTTTGATGCTTTTGACTATCATTTTATATGCAGTTGTGTTTTCCATGAGAAACCATGATTCAGAATGATGTGTTGTCACTTGCTCTAAGCCTTCATATTATGTCTACATATAGATGTTCTTGGGGGTTCTATTTATTATAAAGTGCTCGGCTCACTACTATATATGTTTTTGGATAATGTGTGCCATTTATGGTTTAAAACAAGTTGCATTAATGTTTAAAGATTCAGCACAACAATGTTCCTCTCGTCCATCTAATTCTTCAATATTTAGAGATTCATATTACTTCGTTATTGGTCCCACTGTTTTTTTTCCTATCCATTATCACCATTTCATTATTATGTCTTTTCATCTATTTTTCCTAGCTTCATAGTCAAAATCCTATTCTGATATATATTCTTTTGATTTTACAAAGGCTCTTTGGGACAAGACTCTTGAGTTAAGGTTCTTGCTGCAGAAAGCATTTTCAAGCTCCAATAGACTTCCTCAGGTCCAAAATCTTGCATACATCTTGACTCCCGCACCAGCAAAGTTGGGCTTATATTGGGTCGTCGTTGTTATTGTTAACATTACGGTCAATTGAAGTGTTTTTGTTTCAGGAGCCAATGAAGTCTTCATTTTGTGAATATGGTGATGAAGTTGGTGAGGCATATTCAGATCTAATTGGCTCCTCAGTGAAAACCTTGGAGTCTATATTGGAGTTACAAGAGGTAGGATGGCAAAAGCAGACTAACTTGTTGTGAATTCACCTTTAATATTCTAGTGTAAACTGTGTTTTTAATATTTTAAATATTTCTTCTCTATATTGATAGAGTTGGATACAGTTAACTATTTTGTGCTATGATTCACCTGAAAATCCAAGCTACTTTTTTGTAGGCTCTTCTTGAGAGGAATCCATCAATTATTCAATCTACTGATGGTACGACATGATGCCCTTACATACATCACTTCCTATTTGAATAAGTGTTCTTCCAATCTTGTATCTTGACAAGTAAAAGTTCAGTACTTATCTATATCATGATGTTTTTATTTGGATTCTTATTTGTTTTAAAGTGGAATTAGCAAAAATAAGCATATTATCTTGAGGTAATTTAGGTTACATGATACGTCTTAGTGTTGCACGGTTATTTTTTTGCATCTAACTTAATTTAGTGATGCGAGTTCATTGGGACTTGTGAATAATAACTTTTAATGCTCATTGTATTTAGTATAGTCCTTTTGTGGGTTGTTGCAATGTTTGGTTCCACTGAACTTTGTCCTAAAGGGTAGTTCTTCTTAGTAGGCTCTGAAGTTTTGGAAGTTTCTCATCAGTCAAATGGTGAAAGTGATGAAGAATGGTCACAAATTGCTCAAATGCATTCAAGGTATCTGTGATGCTGTCCCTTCTTGCTCTATTAAACCAATGCAATATCTGAAGAACAATTCATCAAGCAAATTTGTTGATATGTTCTTGAAATAAATTTGGAGGGTGGGGCGCTTACACAAAACTACTGTGGCATAACTGTTATTAGAAGAATCACATAAGCAATATATTTTTATTATGATGCATATTTTCTGTTTATGAATTATGATCTATGAATGGCTCATTGGCTTGCATGCGGTATGCCAATTTGTTTTGTTCATCTTATTTCATATAATTTTTGTGGTGAGGTGTGCCATGTCCATGTCCCAGTGTCTATGTGTTTGGTAGAATTTATCCAAAAATTTATGTTGTTCAATACTACCTCCGTCCCATAGTATTCGTGGAGCATTGTCAAATTGAGTGAACTTTAGTCACCAATCAAATAAAAATTGCATTACATATTGATACAAAAATAATTTTACTAGGTCTATCTTGTAAAGAAATTCAAAAAGTTACTTCATGATGTTAATATTTAGTGCAATTTTTGTTTAATTGATGAAACTTCATCCAGTTTGATTAAGAAGTGTCGAATTGGGAATACTCTGGGACAGGAGTAGAAGTTATCTATTACAATTATGAAACAATAAACTTCAGCTATGTGTTGTCAGTTACTCTTACACTTGTACTGTGATTACTGATTAGATTTAGTTCATCTACTAGTAAAACTGTACAAATTTTGTACATTTGTAGGGATAGTATTGGCAATATATAAGATATCTTTTATAAAATTGTAATAAAGGGAATATCTTATAAATATTTTCCTTCCCCATCCATTCAATCCAAATTCCTCTATTCAGAGATAGTATAAACATTGCACATTTAAAGAATCAATTTTTTGCTCCAAAAAAGGATTCATATTTAATAACGTGAAGCTGATTTATCATGGAATTTAAAAAAGATAGAAATGCGTTCAATAGAATAAATTTAGACAATTTAGTTAAGACAAAATATTACCTTTTATAATATTGGTGTATGGAATAAGGATACATGGAAAGAATTGTAGCTTGCCAAAATTTAAAAGTTGTACCCTGACCTAACGAGACTCTTCTTTTAGGATTGATGTAGCATTGTAGCTCGTTATTTATTTTATTTACGTAATCTAATGCTCCTCGTGCATTTCTTGTTATCGAGGAAAGAATGGCATCTTTTAGAGACAAGTCAATAGACAAATGGCAGAGGAGGACACAAGTAACAACAGGTGCCGCTGCTGTTAATGGAAAATTACATGCATTTAATCAGGTTTGTTTTGAGGTTATTGGCTTTAAATATGTGGAAGAATGTATATGCTCTTCATATTTATTATTTATTAATTTCAGAGTATCAGTCAACAAGTGAGTAATTACATGAGGGATCCAAGTAAAATGATAAATGGCATGCAGTTGAATACATCTGCTGTAGCTCTATTTGGAGTTGTAAGTCCATCTTACTTTTTTACTATTCTTTTTTCCCTTTGTCTACTATTTCATTTATGGATTTAATCCCTTTTCTCCTGTCAGGCTCCCGATCTTACAACGACGCAAGAGGTACATTTTAAAAAAAATCACTATTAAGTACCATGCAATGCCTTCCTATTGAGATTGTTTTCCTATTCTAGTGCCATTTCTTCTGCATAAATTTCACTTATGGTCTCTTTGGAAACCGTAAAATGCTAGAAAAAAAAAGAGAGGAAAGTTTGAGGGAAAAAATTATGAGAAATAAAGAACAGGCTCAAATTTTTTTTACTTTGTATTCCCTCCGTCTAAATTTAGATGTTTACCTTCTAAAAAATCTAATTTTTAAGAAATGAGTTTAACATGTCACATAAATCCTTCAAATAACTTCATGAGGTTGCAGGATCATGATGGCTTATATATAGCCAACATGCTCATTATGGAGTATGTTAGTGTGCTTCATATATTTTTCGCCTATATTAAGCATAGATTTATTGTTATTTAACTATTGATTGAAAATATTCCTCGTGAATTATATTTAACTATCTCAATATCTTAAATTTTATCATGTGATATATATACAAAAAAATGAATGCTTTAACTTAAATACTCCCTTCGTCCCAAAAAAGAGTCATTTGATTGGACATGGAGATTCATACAAGGGATAAACATTGTTGACTTTAAAGTACTACCCTCATTCCAATGGAGGAAAAGCGGTGTGGAGTGGTGGTAATAAAGGAGTAAAGGGCATAAAAGATAAATCAACTTATAAACAGTTCTTTTTATGGAAGAAGGAACTTTTTTTTTGATGTTTCAAAAAGGAAATGAGGACTCTTTTATGGGGTATAATTTATAAAACATTCAGGACCAAACATTTAGAGAGTGTGTGTGCACGCGCATTCGTTTAAATCATAACCTTTATGATCAGGGTATACGTGCGGATGGTAGCCCAGAACTTCTGGATGATTCTGACTTCTATCAGCAATTGCTCAAGGAATTTTTTGACTCAGTTGATCCGTCAACATCCGGTAAGATTCTCCAATACAAATGAGTAAATGACCATTGCTTTACTTTCCAATGAACAACTCTTTAATTTTGGGGAGGTAACAACCAGTGGATATCATAAAATACTCCGTATAATTATATTTTCAATTTTTATTTGTTTGTCTAATTAAACTTAACATATTTATCTTCTTTGTCATACTTTTATTTTATTTAAGAACAATTGATATGTTGATAATCAACATCTTCCTTCAAATTGGACTCTTTTTATGGGACAAATATATGTTGAGAAAGAGGACCCCTTTTCTGAGATGGATGGGGTATAACATTTCAATAAAAATTTACATATATTTAGAGGGCAATCCTTGGCGCAATGGTTTAGTTGTTCATTCAGTGATCAAATTGGTGTTGCTACATTGGAGAATTAAAATATTTATTCTTTTTTTTCCTCCCAAACTTACTGTCTTTTATTTCAAACAACTTGTGGTATTCTTTTATCGTCTGCAGAGAATACATTTTACGCTTTGAAAAGGCTGCAAACAAAGAAAAGGAAAATTGTTGACCGGCGAGCGTCAAAGAGTCGTAAAATCAGGTCAGCCACAAGTTGATAATTATTACCAATTTACTTTTAATAATATTTTTATAACTTTGAACCCACTGCTACACCGAAAAGTGACGCATTGGGTAAATCCCTACCTTGTGACCCTAACCGGTAAAGAACACTTTGGGTAAATCCTTACCATGTAACCCTAACCACAAGGAGGCCAATCAGCCTAGGTTGTGGAGGCAAACAAGCTCCCATGAACACCATTAGACTGCCTCAAACGGGGTCGAATGAACTACCATTTTGCCATATATTTCATTTGATATCCTATTAATTCCTATAAATAGGAACTTATGAGTTAATTTCCCTTTGAAACGTTTATTTAGATGAGTTACTAAGCGTGCAAAACGGATCTTATGCAGATACAATGTACACGAAAAGATTGTGAATTTTATGGCTCCCCAGCCGATGGACCTGCCCCCCATGGCCCCAAAGTTGTTCGAGAATTTGTTTGGGCTTAGAACCCAGAAACAAGCTACAGAAGTAGCATAACGGGTAAACTATGTTCGTCATAGATCAAGTTTGATTATCGTGACATTGTATTAGAACTAACTCGTGTTTGCATGCACTTGGACACAATATTCTGCGGCGTTGTACTATCCTAAATGCTCTAATTTAATGCTTCTTGGGAAATGGAAATTTTAGTTTGTTGGGTTTCATTTTAGAGATGGTGTAGGCTCTGTTTGGCAGCTAGTCCTTTTTTTTTTGAGGAAGCAAAATGGTGAGGTGAGTTACTTTCAAGGCTCCATTTGTAAAGTTGCAACAAGGGCTACTTTATGAGTTTTTGCTTTACATGGTGAGACAAGTTTGATGTTCTATATTTGGTCTCAAACTCGCGCAATAAAACGCGTTTGAGGTTTATTGAATTTCCTCTGGTGTATCGGGCTCTGACGGTATTTATCACGCACGGGACGTGAGATGATTGAAGAATCTTTTCTTTTATTACTCCGTACAATTTAAATCAAAAGAAAAAAAGTTTATGCCCTGTTTAGAAATTTAAATTTGGAGTTAAATTTCAAATTTAATCCACATTACATACTCCGTATTTGAAAATCCAAAACAAGATGATGTTTGGGCTAGTTTATTTTATTTTCTAATTCCTAACAAAACTTAATTACGCGTACAAAATTTGTAATCCCATCATTTAGGTTTCTTATTTGGTGTTTGATGAGACATAAAAAAATTTGAATTTAATACCTTTGATATCACAAATCATTCAAATAAAAGATTTTGATATCTCTCGAATTTGAGAGATATTAATGTAAGAATTTGATATCTTTTTTCAATCGATGAAATCGATTGACATCAACCCTTATACTCTAGACGTTCTTATCTAAAGTTATATCTTTGGTCCACTTGTGCGTTTGTTTTCTATACATAAATTTATATACATGTTCATGTATAGTCACTCTAATAGTATTCAGGGATATGTCTAAGATAGTGTGAAGTTAAACTTGAGAGGAAGCTTCCATGCCTCAAAGTTGACATCATAAATAAAAATTATATACTCCGTATTACCTTTGTTTTAAAACTTTCTTTCCTACATATGAGTACTATTTACATAATCAAATTTTATTTATTTTTTTCTCTATTTTGTTCAATAATTTGATAAAATAATATAATCATATCCATCTTGTTTTATAGAAGTTTTGATTTAATTTTAAAATTTTACACTTTGATTCAAATAAGTCAAATTGAAATTAGTTTCACTCAAATTTCGTAAATTCAAATGAAAAGAAAGTTTAATACGGATGGAAAATGAATTTGTTCATATACAACCATCTATGCCAACAAAAAAAATTGTATTGAGGACTACCATTTTTTATTTCAAACTTGAGTAGTGTAAGCTTTGTTTGAAAAGAACATTCACAGATAACTTTAATATATTAAATTATTTCTTATCTTACAAATTACGGTTTTTCGATAACTTTTGTCACCTCTTATTTTATATAGTAGAATTTTTTATGTAATTTTGAACGATATACCTTATACTTTTTATTTTTATATCAATTTATAATTAAATTGATTTTTGGTCAAAAAAAATAATTAAATTGATTTAAAAATCACATCCAATTTTTTTCCCAAAACTAAAAAAGGAAACAGACATTTTTGCCCACAAAAGAGTTCGTAAGTCCCAACAAGCTTCGCGCCACCACCACCCATCCATCCATGCATGCCAACCACCACCCCTCCGCCATTCTCTCCTCCGCACACATTTTCCGATCATTGACGCTTTCCACTCTCGATCTGTTCCTCAATACTTGATTCCAATTTCCCCATTTTTTTGTTTTTTTTTTGTCAAAATAATCTGAAAACTGAGCGGAATTTGGAAGATTTCGTTCGCATTGAAGCAATCGCGCGCGAATTTGATCGGCCCTATATGGACGGACCGCTCGGAGACGACGATCGGAACGCCCTGGAGGGGCTCTCCAATTCTCCTCCCAACCGGAAGGCCCATTCCTACAGCCAGCAGTTGCGGACCAACACCGGGACCCTCCACAAGCGCCACCACCAGTTCCGCAAGCACAGCCTCGACGACGACCGCATTCCTCATAAGATTGCCAGCAATTCCTACGCCGTCTACGAAAACTCCGACGACGAGGATGATTTCTACCCCTATTCCATCAACAACAATTGCGCCACCAGCGGCGCAGGCGGCGGCGGCAGCGAGCGCTACGACTACCCCGGTCTCAGCCAGAGCCTCGATAGTCCTACCGCTGACGGGTCCGAGGATTTGCCGTACCAGCAATCGCTTCCGGAGTTCGTCGGGGCTGGGGGAACCACAGGGATTTTCAGAGCCCCATCGCGGGCCGCGGTGCACCCTGGCCGTCCGCCTTGCCTCGAGCTAAGGCCTCACCCTCTCAGAGAAACCCAGGTAGATGGAATCCTTGTTCTATTCCAAATCATTATCCCCGAAATTAGGAAAATCGCAATCGGATTATTAATTTTGAAATCGTGAATTTTTCCAGTGTTGAGATGAGATCGAAGACATAACGCTCCCAGTTTGAATTGCAGGTGGGGAGATTTTTGAGGTCGATCGCTTGCACAGAGACGCAGCTATGGGCGGGGCAGGAATGCGGGGTGAGAGTGTGGAAGTTTTCTGATGCATACGAGCCGGGAATAGGAGTGGGAGGGAGAGCCAAGAGAGGGGACGAGGATGCGTCCCCATTTTATGAGTCTGCGAATACATCTCCGGCACTGTGTTTGCTGGTTGATCAGGGAAGTAGGTTGGTATGGAGTGGGCATAAGGATGGCAAGATTAGGTCATGGAAGATGGACCTTCCTTATGATGATGTTCCTTTCAAGGAAGGCCTGTCTTGGCAGGCTCATCGTGGTCCAGTTCTGTCCATGGTGATTACTTCTTATGGTAATTCCTTCAGCTCTTACTACATCTATCTGTGATGAAAAGTTGTGCCTCTGTCTTTTTTATAATTGAACTTTCTTCAATTATAGAGAGTTGGTAATGCCAATGGCGCATACACACACACTAAGTCACTAATGGCATGAAATTTATGGATTCCTTTATGGAGCAGGTGATATATGGTCGGGTTCTGAAGGAGGAATAATAAAGGTCTGGCCATGGGAAGCGATTGAAAAATCACTCTCTCTTTCTCCAGAAGAAAGACATATGGCTGCATTACTGGTGGAGAGGTCAAGCATTGATCTTAAGAGCCAAGTTACTGTTAATGGTGTTTGTAATATCTCATCCTCTGAGGTTAAGTGTTTGTTGTCAGATCATGTTAGAGCTAAGGTGTGGGCAGCTGCATCTTTATCCTTCTCATTATGGTATGCCTTTATATATTCAAACACTTGGTCTAGTGGTTTATCATTTGTCATGATTGCTATGTTCCATGAGTGCATGTAGATTTTACAATATCAATTTTGCAATGAGACATGACTACATCAACCGTCTGTCCGTCTCAATTCATCACTGTTTCAGATATTTTCTTAATAATCCAAGAATAGGAGTGGTGACCATTTTGAAGTTTCATTTCATTATTCCCTGCGACATGAATGGCATCTCTCATAATATGGTTTATTTTTTGCGTGCATATCCCATGAATTTATAGTTGTAAGTAATACTACCTTCTTCCCAAAATGGATTTCACCAGTTAGTCATTGATTATTTGATAAAATAAAATATTATTGTCACCTCTTATTTTGTACGGAGTAGATCTTTTGATGTACTCGGAGTAGTTTTTAAGTATGTAAGTTGTATTTTTTATTTCTATACCAATTTGTAAAGAAAATAAATCATTACTGGGTCGAAGTAAGGGTTGGATACATTAGGCTGAAGTCATGGGATTTTGCACATGCTTTCAAGAGTGCAGTCTATTTGGGGAGGGAGGGAGTATTGGAGACTTTATTGACACTAAATTATATTGATGGGGTATTCAATGGAACAACTTATTGGGTCGAGGTAAGGGTTAGATACATTACGCCCTCCCCAAATCAAAATTCTGAGTGGTACTTATTGGGTTTGTTTGGCTTGGCTTTATTGACACTGTTTTCTAGCCACTGACCCAACTAACTGGGATTAAGGTGCAAACGAGATTGTTATGACTGAAATAGACTCATTTATCTGTTATGCCATTTATATTCTGAGTTTTATATAAAAATGATACATGCTTGTTTTTGTCAATCCCAAGCTATATATAGTTAGCCCTAATAATCCAGGTAGTGTGTGCATTTCAGGGATGCTAAGACCAGAGAACTTGTGAAAGTATATAACGTAGACGGTCAGGTTGAGAACCGAGTTGACGCTCCATCAACACAAGAACAAGCAGTTGAAGATGAGATGAATGTTAAGTTTGTGTCTAAAAGCAAAAAAGAAAAATCCACCTTTCTGCAGCGGTCTCGCAACGCTTTAATGGGAGCAGCAGATGCTGTTCGCCGAGTTGCAACTAAAGGGACAGGGGCATTTAATGAAGATGCAAAGAAAACAGAAGCACTGACAATTGCTTCTGACGGAATGATCTGGACTGGATGTTCGGGTGGCTTGCTTGTGCAGTGGGATGGAAATGGAAACCGTATACAAGATTTTCATCACCATCATTGTGCTGTTCTATGCTTTTGTACTCATGGATCACGGATATGGGTTGGCTATGTTAGCGGGATGGTGCAGGTGTTGGACCTGGAAGGAAACATACTTGCAGGGTGGATTGCTCACAACGGCCCTGTCATAAAGATGGCAGTTGGGAATGACTATATTTTTAGCTTAGCTAACCATGGTGGCATTCGGGGATGGAGCATTGCTTCCCCAGGCCCCATTGATAATATTATACGACCAGCATTGGCGGAAAAAGAAGACGTGTATACCAGATATGAATGCATCCGAATTTTAATTGGAACATGGAATGTTGGTCAAGGAAAGGCATCACAAGAAGCACTTATGGCATGGCTGGGTTCTGCAGTGTCGGATGTTGGAATTGTAGTTGTTGGACTGCAAGAAGTGGAAATGGGTGCTGGATTCCTTGCCATGTCTGCTGCAAAGGAAACTGTAAGTTTTTACTACACATTCTTAAGTATTAAACTCAATCTCTTGGACGATGAATTGGTCCCCTGATCATTTAATTGTGCTTTTATGGTTTTGGTCGGAACACGGGCTAGAGGGAGCTTATGGTGCAATAATTATACATATTTTTTGTTAAAACATTAAATATCTTTGCATAAAACAATCCTCTGATAGTCTGGTGGCAGAATATCTTTCCTTTTTACTGATACAGTGGTGCTGGTATAGTAGTAAAAGAAGTTACTAGAACATGAATATAATTGGAGCAAAGCTGTCCCACTATCTTATTTTCCCCTCACTTTGTATGATTATTTATAGAATTTTACTAATCCTTTCATATCAATTGT